GGGGGGGGGGGAGCAGGTGCATGGGCACACATGGTAAGGTGTGTGTGGTCAAAGCTGTCACGAAATGAAAGAAAATGGCTATGGGACACGTATGAAATCTCTTGGGAAAAACCTAGTCTTACATATGATTAAATGCATTTATTGGGGCTTTTGTGGATTCCCCAGTAAATCCATTGCTTTCACTCCTATGAATCAATTCCTTTTGTTTGTATTATGAGTTAAAAAAATAATATTGTTAATTAGGTTTGCCTGTGTCATTCATAAAGTTTACATCTCTGGTGCCTAGCATTTCATTTTATGGCAGATGCGGCCCAGCCCAACAAAGTAACTTTTATGTCAGATCTGGCCCTTGTAACGGATGAGTTTGACACCTCTGGTCTAAAAGATCAATATAACAAGGTCCTTACTTCAAAATCTGTCTCATAAAGGTGTGCTATCAGACATTTAAAAAGAGGGCACCCACAAAGACTTGCAGGGAGCATTTCATTTGCCCCTCCCCCTCTAGTTCCTCTTTTGCTTCCCTGAAAGTCCCCAAAGCCTTTTCTCTTTTCTGTTATCTGGACTTGCATGGACTTGTATCCTGTATCCCCTTCCCCACACTATTTCCTCTTTCACTCCTCCTGGCAGCTCTTGTATCCTCACCTTTCTTTGCTTCCTCCTTTCCTTCCAACCCACCAAGCAACCTACCTTTTATCATCTTTAGCTTTATTACTTGCTTACTCCATTTATACTCCACCTTTTTCCACAATGAGAACCTAAAACAAGCCACATCATTCTCCTCTCCTCTATTTTATCCTCACAACAGCCCTGTGAGGTAGGTTATGCTAAGAGTGTGTGACTGGCCCAGAGTCACACAGTGAGCTTCCAAAGCAAAGTAGGGATTTGAACCTGGATTTCCCAGATCTGAGTCTAGATTGCTAACTACTACACAACTGGCTTTTGTGCAGTAGCTGCTGTTGAAAAATAGCCAGCAGCCAAGCCTGAGTCAGTCATGCAAGTCAAGTGGTATTGAGTCACCCAGTGGTTGCTGGTGGACCTTATTCTGACCCTGCATTTTCCTGACAGAAACCCGAGGCTTGAATACTGTTGTGGTGCCTAGCATTGGCCGCTGAGGGCATGCGTTTCTTAAAGCTACAGACACTTCTTTTATAATTTTGGTGGGTTTTACCTCCCCCATGTTTTTTGTTTGTTTTAGATTTCAGATTTTTCTGCAAGCCTGGGTGTTTCCTAAAGTTTGTAGAAAGATCTGTCTTGTCTGCCCATGGCCCCAGTCTCTGGATTTCAGTATCCACAGCTGGGACCATTTTGAGATTTAGATACACTGATCAAGTGCTAAATAGAGATAAAAACAGTTCCTTAAATATCTGGATTTTATTTCCATAAAGAAGCTACTCTGCTGACATCTACTGGCTGTATTAGTATCAGCAGCAGAAGAAAATATCCATAAATGTCAAACTGAATTAGCACGTTTTAATTTCTTGGTGGGGCAGGGAAGGAATGAACAAAACAAATACAGTGTTCTAAATAAAACACTCTAAAGAATCACAGCAACTTTCGCAGATGAAGTACTCATCCAGCAGTTAGCTGTGGCGTGGGCATTTTCTTTATTGTTCATGAGGCTGTAATTAATCTATGTTTGAATCATGAAAATGGCCCCCCCTTCGGCTTTTGGATACACACTGCTCAACCTTTCAATTAGTTCACATCAGGGAGTGGGATTCTAATCATTTGGACTCTGAAGAGTATAAATTTAATAATGGCAATAGCATGGCACGCAAAATCAGTGTCAAGACATCTTTAGTGCCACCTAGTGGAGATTAGTGGAACTTAATCCCAATCCGTTTTTCACAGGACTATGGTAACAGAATTAAACTACAGAAAGATGCCTATTATCAGTTGAGGATGTTGATTCAGATAGTCGGATTAGCCTCTGTAACCCTTCCCTTAAAGCCCATTGGGGGAGGAGAGGCCTGAAACAGCCAGTCTTGAATTGTACATCTTTTTTTAAAAAAAATTAACCAGGAATCACATGCAGCTAATAAGCATTAGTTTGGCAAACTCACCAGCAGTGTTGTGCTTGATATATACATGCAGAGACTGTCGATCCCAATGAAGATGAGATGGTAGTTCAGCCAGGACCAGTGGAGGCAGGGAGAGGAAGCAGGGGAAGCCTGCTTGTTGGCTAAAACAGCTGCTAAGATCTGGCTGTTTTCCTTAGCTCAGAAGGTCTAGGAGCATCCAGAAGCACAAGCTAAAGGGCTCTTATCCTGAAATCTGTAGCCTAGAGTGGAGTGGAAGACCTCTCAGTGAGACACTGGCTCTTCACTCAAGCATCCATTCCCTTCACCTGTGTCTGTTGCCTCTGTAAACAGGATTGGGTCCCCAATAGAGAGAAAAGTGGGGTGTGAATAAAAATAAATAAGAGGATCATGGGGGACTGCATTTTGGAACTCCTCCCCCCCTTTGGTGCCTTAAAAGCTCCCTGCAATGAGAAAACCAGCACAGCAAGAAAGATAGACGCTTTTTCTCCCTGCCATGCTGGTTTTATGTTTGCTTGGAGTTTATGTGAACATTCAAAGCTGCACTACATCACCTGCAGTTTGCAGGGGTAGTTCCTGGTATCCAAAATTCATTCTCTTGCACATGGAAACCAGACCTCTGTGTGAGTCTGCCCCTCCAGAAGCAAGCTTATCCCTTGTCCACTGACACTGTTTAGATACTTACACCCCATTTTGCTCCACAACAGGGGACCAAGGCAGCTTACAACATCATTCTCCCCTCCATTTTAGCCTGACAGGGTGACTCACCCAGGGTCAACCCAGCAAGCTTCCATGGCAGAGTGGGGATTTGAACTGTAGTGGGGATGGCAATTGGGGGTGGGGGGGGGGGAAGAAAGGGGGGGGGGGGGGGGGGGGGGAAACAAACCTGGATGGCTCCAACTTTATGTATTTCCCAATACCATGCTATTTTGGTATGTTCAATGGCTCACCAGGTACTGCCCCTATACTCATGTGGTTACACTTCATAAATTCTTTTGAATGTTATCAATATCTAAACTGTCTGTTGAAGTACAGTTCTCATTTTGAATCATTGGTGTGGATTTGACAGGGCGGTTAAGTCTTGCTGGACAAGACCAGTGGTCCATCTAGTCCAGCAGTCTGCATCACATAAGTCAACTGGTTATTCTGGAGGCCCAGCTACAGGGCAGAGATGCCAAGGCCTTACCCAGATGTTGCCTCCCAGCACTGGTATTCAGAGGTTTACTGCCTCTGATCAAGGAACTTCCCTTTACTATCCAGAGCTAGTGGCCACTGGTGGACTTATCCTCCATGAACGTGTCTAATCTCTTTCTAAAGTCATCTATGCTTATGGCCATCACTACATCTTCTTGCAGTGAATCCTGCATTTTAATAATCCATTAAGTAAAAAAAACCACCTCCTTTATCGATCCAGAATTCATTGTCCATAAACTTCACGGGGTGTCCTCAAATTCCAGTATTTTAGGGAAAATATTTATGTTGTGGGTAATTTTATAAACCTTTATTACATCCACCCCATCATGAACATAACATAAGAACATAAGAGATGCCAATGTTGGATCAGGCCAAAGGCCCATCCAGTCCAACACTCTGTATCACAGAGTGGCCAGAAATACCAGGTGCAATCAGGTCCACCAGTGGGGCCAGGACATCAGAAGCCCTCCCACTGTTGACCCCCCCCCCAAGCACCAAGATGACAGAGCATCACTTGCCCCAGAGTCCCTATCTATACCTTGTGGCTAATAGCCACCTCTGCTCCATATGCTTATCTAATTCCCTTTTGAAGCCGTCCATGCTTGTAGCCGCCCCCACTTCCTGTGGCAGTGAATTCCAAGTGTTAATCACTCTTTGGGTGAAGAAGTACTTCCTTTTATCCGTTCTAACCCGACTGCTCAGCAATTTCATGGAGTGCCCACGAGTTCTTGTATTGTGAGAAAGGGAGAAAAGTACCTTTTATTGGCGGCTAGTTAACACTGAACTCAAATGTAAACTTCTTTTTAAAGAAGAAAACTTGAAGTTTAGACTTTGAGATTTCTGAAGAATGTGATACAAATTTTAAGTTTTACTAGTGATTAGATTTTGAAACACAAGAGATAAGATGGAACTTTCAGCTGGGGAGGCCCAAAGGAAACTATCCAACAGTTATAGATTTGGATAGTTTTTATGTTTAAAAATCTTGTGAAACTGAATTGAAGAACATTCATGTTCGAGGCCAATACTTATGTAAACTGCTAATAATCAATGTTATATTTTATGTGTGTGTGCATTTGTATCTGTAAAACCAGCAATTATAAATGCCTTTTTCTGTGATTCAGTTCTAGAGCTGTCCTTAATGTCTGATAGTTACTAAATTATGTATCTTAATATATCAGTCACCACAGTTAATTCAGCTATCATATATTTTCTTAAAACCACTTAAGACTTTTCTTTTGATTGCAATAGAACTGAAAAATAAAATCTTAGCTCAGAAGCCATGTCTAGAACAGTACAGCTTTTTGTGAAAGCAGTTTTTACATTCTTCTGCTGCAACATCATCCTTCAGTGAGTCATGAAACTGTATAAATCCAAATGTTATCTGTAGACTAATCCTACTTCCAGTTTAAAGACAACACCAGACAGCAAAACAATAACTAAAGATTAAAGAAATGTTTATGGACAGCATTATTACTCAGATCTTGGTGACTACTGCCTGTATAACGGCAGTAGGGAAACTTGATCTCAACAGGCGTACCTGTGCAGAAGAATGTGCAGCCATACCACTGTTCGACTGAATGTACTTTAAATAACATTCTGGACTGAGAGTCCCAAAATGCACTTGCTGTGTAGTGACAATGACCAAAAATCAACATTAGTGCTCTAAGAAGCATGACAGGCAGCAATATTAAACAATTAAAGAACCATAAGTATCATCAGTGTTATGTACCAAGGTGACATTATGCAAAGAGAGTTTATTGTGCATGAGTTTGACAGGACCAGTCAGTGAAATAAGCTTTCTGCATCTGAATAATTTATCAAAATAATGTTTATTTCCCCTCCCCCACAAGAATCAGCGCCCATTGTGAGGATCCAGATTCCTGGGTCTCGTAGCATCCAAATAAAGCTTTTGATTTACACCAGTTCTGTGAAGTTTGGAATTGAAGCAAGTCTTTTCCATAATTACTGTAGTACAAACTGCTAGAGAGCAATTACTGGTATGTATCAAGAAGTGGAACAATTACAACAGTTCAGGAAATGGAAGTTTTAGTGCACTTTTGTCATTTTTTTTAGCCAACATGCTACACTTTCTATTGTCTGTGCACGAAGTGAATACTACGGATTTCCACCATACAGAAATCCATCTCAGCAAGCAACACACTGTGTCAAGCTGCCCTTTTCCCCCTTAGACCTGCTGTTTAAGACAAAAACTTTGCCAAACAATACATAATCTTTTTTTTATTATTAAATGAGAAAAATCTCATTCTCATACATTGTCACATTGCTAGTCAGAGAAATGCTGCAGTGATGAAAAAGTCAATGTTGGGGCAGAGTCCTCATTTCTACAACATCCATTTACAAAGAAATTATAGTCATGTTTTCAACACAGCTCATCAACACAACATTCTTAGGTTCCTTCACGAGGAGTCCCAAAGATCCTTCGTCTAACGGGGGGCACAAAGCACTACTTCAATTATAGTTCCTTCCCCTCACTCGAGCAATTCCCTTGCAAACTGCACCAGAGGCAAGAAAAAGCGCCTCCTGCTTCCCAGCCATCTTCACACATCATCATCATCCGACGTGTCGCTGCTGCTTGTTTCTGTGTCTTCGTTCTCAATCGTTGGTTTGAAAGTGCTGTTTTTCCACGGACTGAATTTGAAGTCACAGATGAGGCCGTTTTTCAGAATACCATTTTTTCTAAGGCCATTTTTTTGTAACTGAAATGAAAAACAAAGTTAGCAGTTTCGAAGAGACGTCACCAAAAGGTTTGTTTCCTACAAAACATCAAACTGCGTATTTTGTGTTCGGCAACACTGCTTGCCTATTACTTCAAACAAAACTTTCCAAAACTGGGGGGGGGCGTCTTGACCATATGCCAGTCCCTCTACAATCTATTCAAGTATTTCCCCCAGGAGGATTCTGGAAAGTTCTAGCCTTACACAAAATTTTACAGGTGCAAATGTCTTTCCTTCTAAACAAATCCAAGAAGCTTGAAGTATCAAGTTTGCAAGCAACAGAAATAAACTTTTCAGCCTAGAAATCTAATGCTCATATAACAGTGCAGAAGTCTCCTAAAGAAACTCCCACTGTCAAGCTACTGTTACTTAGCTAGCAGCAGGGAGAACACGACACTTTTCTTGTGTTTATACAGCACAATACTATGGAAAGTTGCACATGCAATGGAGAGCAGTATATGCCATGCCATTCCCCATTGCTGTCTTAGGTTGTGACAGACATCTGCAGGGGCAGGGGCAGAAGGGAGATCATAATACTGAGGGAGTTCAGGAAGGGGGAGGAACAGCACAGACAAGCAGGACAGGAGGCGGATGACCATGTAGCAATATTTTGCATATAAACTCTTTAGAGTTAATTTCCTACTCCAAGAGAGTGTGCAGACAATATCTACAGCTCTATCTTGTTAAGATATCACCTGGCATTGTGTGTGGAATAGCCAGGAGACCCCCACCAGGGGGACTGTTGGGCTGCCAAACCTGTAGCTCTTTTTTGCCACCACTAGGTGGCAAGCTATGCTTATTTTTAGGCTGTGACTTGCCTAAGGTCACCCAACTAGCTTCAATTGGGGAAGTGGGGAATCGAACCCAGTTCTCTAGATTAGAGTCCGCCACTCTTAACCATTACACCAAACTGGTTCTCTTTCTTGTTAAAAAAATGTTCAGATATTGTCTTTTGACGCACTAGACCTCAGAATACTGGTATTGCTTCTTCTAGTACTGAATACGGGGAGGACAGATATCCATCCCATTTGGCCAATGATATATTTCAACAGACATCGACAGATAACGCACCCACAGGTAGATTTTGCTTCCCACCTGTTCACTGATAACCTGAAATTCCCTCATTTCATCCTCTGTTAATGGAGCGCAGGTCTCATCATTTTCGCTGTCTTCCTGCCAGCCCATCTCCTTTAACAATCTAAAAAGTGACAGAAGATATTGCACAGTTTAATTTAATTTAATTTTACCAAAGTTAATATACACTAAAAGCAGTTAGCAGCTCAAGACCCAATCTCACTGCCTTGAAGACCAGCTGGGCAGTTACCTGCCAACTCTTCCCATTAGTTCTCATCTACTCTTAAGACAGCACAGACAAATGATTTGACATAAGAGAATCAGAGCAAAAGAAGATTCAGCTTTGTGTTCCTCCTGTCTCTTCATCAAAGCTTAGAAGATGGAGAGAAAAGCACATAACTCAGAGAAGGCATGTCCACACCAGCTGAAATAACTAGGATTCCATGAACCAGATTCCCACTGTTTTTAAAATATTCAATTATTGGGGGGGGGGGGCCCTCTGACCAGGGCCAGAGAATGAGGGTGTTGATGCTCACCCCCGTGCCATTTTCCCAACCTGCAACGGCCCAAGGGCAGCTGGCTGCTACTTGTCTGCTCAGGCAAGCTATAAATACCAGTTTAATTACCTAATACTAAGCAGCTACCTTGGACCATTTTGGGGTCAGGAAAACAGCACAAGGGACAGGTCCCCCCTTGACACACACACACACTCCCCTTGCAGTCCTGATTCAGGCCCTGAGCACCTGATAACCAAAGTAAAAAACAATACTGGGAGTTCTGTTCATGGCATTCCCAACATCTTATCTAGTATGAGCCTCAAATCATTCCTACCTCCCTGAAATTGCTGAGCGGTCGGGTTAGAACAGATAAAAGTAAGTTCTTCTTCACCCAAAGAGTGATTAACACATGGAATTCACTGCCACAGGAGGTGGTGACAGCTACAAGCATGGACGGCTTCAAGAGGGAATTAGATAAGCATATGGAGCAGAGGTCCATTGGTGGCTATTTTAGCCACAAGGCATAGATAGGGACCCCGGGACAAGTGATGCTCTGTATTCTTGATGCTGGGGGGGGGGGGGTCAATAGTGGAAGGGCTCCTAGTGTCCTGGCCCCACTGCTGGACCTCCTGATGGCACCTGGTATTTTTGGCCACTGTGTGACAGAGTGTTGGACTGGATGGGCCATTGGCCTGATCCAACATTGGCTCCTCTTATGTTCTTATGTTAAAGACTTGCCCCTAACCCACCATCATCCCCCAACCAACCCATCTGTAATGATGACGACAGGCCAGAGATCTACATAAGGAGTTGAATAGAAAATACACTGAGTTTCTAGGATGGATTCTGCCGCCCTTCTTCCAGTCACTGGCATCCCTCCCCAAAAGTCACTGGGGGCAGAAAACCACTGGGAATGGTTTAAGGTACAGAAACCAAAAACGGGGATCGGCAGAAATACCCTATTGCCATCACTGAACCAACGCCTTACAAAGAACTGGCACAACAGCAATTTCAACTGATCCCCTTTCTGACTCCAATTCCCACACCACATCTGATCTACACTGAGGATTCCGGGGGGGGGGGATATAACCCCCCCCCCCCC